GTATGCTGCAAAATGTAATAGGATCCCGACTCAAACCCAGGACTTGTAGGCGCTGCTGCAATGCCAGTAACACAATAAATCACCAGCTTTTGCCTTTTAGTCACAGCCACCTGAAGCAGGTGAAAGGCTTGGTGACTTATTTGCCTGCTGTTAGCCATCCAGGCTCCAACGCAGATTAGATTTTATTCAGACAATGCTACTGTACTGCTCAGGCAGAGAAGTTGAGCTGCGATTAGATAAGACCCAGGCACAGGTGGTTTTACTTACCTTTGGAAGCCCTGCTCAGCAATAACTAAAACATCTCTGCATTATCAACACAATGTTCAGCATAACTCCAAACCATAGCCCCATACTAGCTACTATGAAGAAAATTAACTCTATCCCAACCCAACCAACAAGAAATAGTAGCACATCAGAACTTCAAATTCAACACTAACAATTTTAAAAGGCTTCTCTGGAACTTTTATTGCAGCTTTCTTGGTTTGATTTATTATTATTCGAACTAGCTACTAACTTTATCCCGAGGCACACCTCTGCATTTCAGATGTCTTTTGTTGATTGCGCTGTCTTGGCCTCAGACCCTCCAGGCAAAGGCCAGCTTCCCTGTAAAAGTGAGCGCTGCAATCCAGGCTTTTCTCAAAAACCAGCTTCTAATCAGGATTTTACAAGGTAACGGATCACAGAAACCCAGACTGCTCCCTGTCTTGGGCTTCCACATAATTCCAGTTTTTCTGCCTACCATGGTCTCACCCTTTCCCTAGACCAACACAATTCCTTTGACCATGCACTTTGCTTTTGGAGTTCACTTACGTCAATGGAAAAAATCAAAAATTTGCATCCAGCAAGAAATTATCAGAAGAGAGGAAACGATGTTGCAGCAAAACACTGGAGCTGCTTACGTAGTTTATGAGTCAGTTTGGTTCTCTCAGTCCACGCCTGTTTAAGGTGGGATACTAGCTTGGTCAAAATACTTTTCCGGCCTGTTTGGCTATTGACAGCTAGATCACAGTTGAAATCAGAAGTCAGAAATAAAGTATGTTCCACCAACATTTTCAGTTGATTTAAAATCAGCTAAGCCTGTAATTGCAATGAAAACCATGACATGGATAAATTACTGGTTTTTTTCAAGTTATGAAATGACATTAAGTTCAGTCTTAATGTACTTCAGTCACAGTTTATAAGTCAAACCTTCTTCAGCAGAACAGTCAGCCACGGCGTATGCCAGATCATGGAAATCGTTTGATTTTAAACTGAAAAAGTGTTCTTATTTCCAGTTCATGTGTTATCAGTCCTCTACATCAAATAAAAATATTCATATAAAGATTTTTGCATATATTTTCAATTAGCAGTCCAGCCTACCTACATTAAAAAAGTCATTTTACATTCAGAACCAAAGCATTTTCTCCTACCTTTATCTCAGTTCGTTACTCCAGGCACATTTTTCTGAGGAGCTGACAAACTTACAAAGCCTTTAAACAAGGAATTACAGAAATTCAACATCTCATTACTTGAGATACTTGCTTCAAACAATTAAAAGATAATATCTGACTCAGAATAATATGCATCATCTAAGTTTACACAGCTGAGATTAAGGAGGTCTAAAAAATACAGAAGCTCCAAGATATTATAGATACTTTCTAGCTTTCTGATTTTCTTCTCCAACAAATCTCAAAACATTGGGGTAGAAAAGGGAAGATCTGTAAGCAATCAGAAGAACAAACTCACAACAGATTTTAAGTTTTTCTCTTGGGATGCCCACACACAGGCAGGGTGTTTACGTTATGCCCTAGGGATTAAAAACACCCGATTACAGCAGTCTGAAAACAGTACTCAAAACGGAAAGTCAGAAGAAAAACGCACAAACACAATACATTGAAATTTAACTTTTATTTTTCTGTTGATAAAACCCAAAGATCCCTCACAGCAGCAATAGATGCAGAAGTTATCTGCAGAAACGATACCTCCTCTTAACCTGTTTGCATACCCACGTATGCCAAGTGTGTAGGGACTGCATATTAACACAGTACAGGCACTGCTCAGTAGTAACAGAGATCAAGTTTCTTGGCATATTTTAACCCATCCTTTCCTTAATATTATAGGGTTTTCATAGCATTGAAGATGACTGTTAATGAGTTGTCTGTTTACTGGATTTTTTTTTTGTTGTTGCTGTTGCAATTTAAAAGCTTTTTATTAAATTCTACACATACACTTTATATGCCCAGATACACCTCCCCCCATTTTGTAGTAGTTGACAAACTGTATCCAAATGCTACAATTCAGAATGGAAATGCTACTGCATTTAGCAGCTCTAGCTGCACTAGAGTAAATATTTCCTTAGAGTAACAAAACACACCCCTCTGTTCAATAACACAAGGGATACAGGTTTTAGAATGCACGTTTCTATCTTGTACCCATACCTTTCTTTAATATATATTTTTATATATAGCTCTAGAACAAATCTCTACTATTTTACAATTAAATTAAAACATCCACAATTGGTCTAACTAGTGATTTTGGTCTCAATACTTTAAACATTAGTTGTTCCATAAAAATATACAATTCAACAACACGGCTGTATCAGTAACGAGGCCTTTTGAAAGAGGCCTATGACAGATAATCAGCCATGCAATTCAGTGCTCAACATCATCTAACTGATAAATATAGTTTACCGCATTTTCAAACTATCAGGATCTTTAAAATCCAAATTTCTCTTTGCAGGCTTACCATGCTTACAAACATGCAGAAAGCAATCACATTTCTCACTTGCCTGTAGCAATCACATTTTTTTTCTTTTCCAGTAGATCAACTGACAAAGCACAAACTTCATGCTGTCATTTTTAGATCGCTAAACTCTTCCTTTCTTTCACATACTGAATCATTTCACAATGGATCATACCGCTCCACGTGAAAAGACTAGGGATTAACCACATAGTAAGAACTGCACTTTTCAGTTTAAAGCCTCTAAGAATCAAATTACTAACAGTCAATTAGGAAGCACTCATAGCTGCCATACAAGTGAACAAACACCCAGTAGACAATCAAGTTAATTCTAAATATATAGCAAAAAGGTGAAACTTAAAAAAAAGAGAAAAAAAAGAACCCAAACCCTAAACCACACAAGTACAGCCTCAAACCTGTTAGATGATTCTCCCTCCAGAAAAAGTTTCTTCAAAGCAGCACACAAAACCTGCGCCACCATCAACTACACTTGAGAAGATATTAATTTCCTTATTACCACCACAGCACCATTCCACACAAAGTTCCCTAGCAATGGTGATGCGGTACTTCATAGTACAAACAAGAACTCTCCAAGTCAGAAGCAGTCAGTGATAAAACCCCAGACAAGTTCACATGTCAGGGTAACCTGGCATATAAGCCTCAGAACATTTTACTCTTATCAATGTAATAATCAATAATTTAGGTGCTAACTATTCCAAGACCAATACAGTCAGTCTGTAGACAAAACTACAATAGAAGATACTAAAAAACACAAGAGGGGTATGACAATTAAGATGAGTATTTCTTTTAAACAGCAGGTGGTCAGGGAAACATCTGGAATTCTGTTGCACTGCATTAACATAACTTCTGTTTCTGAATATAAAAATACACCTAGAGACTCGATCCAGAACTGCATACACAATTACATTTTTCCCCTTAACTGCTTTCAGAGTAGTACAAAATAATATAAGTTACAGGAATGATTGTTGCAAATTTGTAAGTGTCAGCTATTACAAAATCATTATATGATAATACCAACTGTAAATTATTTACAGGTGAGGTAATACAATTTCCAGAGTAACGAATTACGATTTAGCAGAAGTGTAAAAATAATGTACTCGCCAAAACATTACAAAATCTGGTATCATTATCAGCTACACAGTAGATCATGATTAGGTTTTGTAATTGATATACAACATATTCTTAAGAAAAGTGCCAAAATACTGCTACATAAGAATCTTTTTTTCCAAAATCATTCAGCAAAAAAACCTGCAGATTCTATGTTAAATAATGCCAAAAGAAAACAGGAAAAAAGTGATGCCGATTGCAGAAATGTCTTATTAAAAGCCTTTGAAAAATCTGTAAATTCACCTTCATGCTTAGAGGTCTGACATGAAAGAGACTTATTTAAAAAAAAAAACCCACAATAGAAATATCAACATATATAGTTTTTTGGGGGGTATCTTAGGCCATTTTAAAAGTACACATTCCTCAAACTGTGAAACAAGCATAGACCGAAAACATTCTAAAAATGGCTGAACTGCCGACCATGGTTGTGATCAGCGGCACAAAGTCTGGCTGGACTACTGACGCACGCCAGGGGTCTGTACCGGGGTCCGTGCTGTTTTGACATTTTCATTAACACCACGGGTGACAGGACAGAGTACGCTCTCAGCGAGCCATTCAGAGGGACTTCGGCAGGCTGGAGAAACAGGCAAACGGGAATCTCAAAGCTCAGCAAAGGAAAGTGCAAAGTCCTACACCTGGGGAGGAATAACCTCACGCACCAGTTTGGGCTGGGGGCTGACTAGCTACAAAGCAGCCTTGCAGAGAGCAACACAAAGCTGACCGCGAGCCACCGATGTTCCCTTGTGGCAAAGCAGCCCAGCAGCCTCCTGGTCTGCATTAGGAAAAGCAGCGAGTCGAGGGAGGTGATTCTTCCCCTCTGCTCAGCCCTGGTGAGACAACTCAAGTGCTGGGTCCAGTTTTGGGCTCCCCAGTTCGATAGAGACTTGGGCACGCAAGAGCGAGTCCAGTGAAGGGCCGCAAAGGCGATTATGTGATAGGAGCATCGACAGTCAAGGAGAGGCTGAAAGAACTGGGATTGTCTAGCCTGGAGAGAAGGCAGCTTGGGGTGATCTTACCAATGTGTGTAAATGCCTGACAGGGCATAAAAAGAGCCAGACTCTTCTCAGCAGCATCCAGTGACTGGACAAGAGGCAATGGGCACAAATGGAAATACAGGAAACTCCATTTAAACACAAGAATGGACCTTTGTAGTGAGGGAGATCGAAACACTAGAACAGGTTGCCCAGAGATCTTCTGGAGTCTCCATCTTTGGAGACGCTCAAAACCCCAGCTTGTCACAGTGCTGAGCAACCTGCTCTAGCTAACCCTCCTCTGAGCGGAGGGGGCTGGACTAGGCGATCTCCAGGAGTTCCTCCAACCTCAGTCATTCTGCGATTCTATGAAAAGGACAGTGTCTTTTGTAGCCCAGGCACTGGATCAACCGAGTCACAAAGCAAACTATAAAACGTAAATGGAATATATTTTCTCTTTAAGTTATTGCATACAATGTTAATTTTGCTGCCTGCGTTTTGCCGATCTCATTTTTTCAAATCTCGACTCCATTTCTTCCAGGACCTTTGGCGTGTATCGCACAACTAATTTAACCTTTCCTTGAGCTGCCTTCAGCAGTTCTACTGCTTTTTCATGGTGTTCACCTTCGACACTCTGCAAAGCATAAACCATTAAGTACAGTATTAGTAAAGACACGCACTGAAAACATTTTTTGTACAACTTCTACATAATCAAATATTGAAGTATTCTAGTTTGGAGACTGCACAAGGACAATGTCACTGAAGTTCAGGATTTATTCTTCAGCAAATCAGAAAGAGGTGATGATAAATATATTATTAGTATTAACAAGAGTAGTGCAAAACTTTTGGTTAGGTTTATGCTGAACAATTAAATTCTGTATTCACATACAGTAGGTGAAATAAGGATAACATTAGGCAATTATGAAATTACACTTAAAAATCAACAATTTCAGGAGGACACTTATAAACAATCTTGAATTTTAAATCTTCTTTTGGTATGCATTTTAAATGCAGTAGTCTTCCTCAATTTGCCTAGTAAGCTGCCAGAGACAACTGCAAGATAGCTGCCTTGACGTTACCCTGTGTTACAAGGCAAAACAGTGCACACTGGGCACCCACAATAGAGCAGCTAACACGCAGTGTGTTGTTTATCTTAGTTTTCCACGCGTCTCTCAGTAAATGCAAGGTATTCATTCTCTAAACTGAGTAAGAACAGCCTAACCCAACTCAATAAGAAGAGAATAAAAATACTTTCCTAAAACAACTCTCAGAATGTATTGGGGTTATACTGGATTCTTCTCATTACAAATCTTAAGCAAGAATTCTCAACAACTGCATTCAAATATACATTCATGGATAGCATACATTTTATCAGCAAAACTTATTTCTCCCAAACTTATTAAACACAATGATGGGACTACCCCAAGCCTACCTCCCACTGGTGCTATTAGAAGCTAGAAGGCAGGTGATGTACCTGTTGATTGGAGGGTTTCCCCGTTACTATAAAGTTACTTACAGAAAGAAAGACAACAGTTAAAAAAACCCAGGTTATTTCTCTTCTATCAGACAGCACATACATTTGAATGTTTTCATTTTTGTTATTCAACTGGATGTGTAGGCTGTTCTGTTTAAAACTGGTAATAAAAGGTTTGTAAAGTTTATGTTTAATTATATCAAAATACATCAAATTCTGGAGTATAGTCAAAATCTCCAAGCTGAAAAAAACACCCAAACTTGTTTTAAGGCACATTCACTGCACTCTTCGCAGCAGCAATTATTATTTTTTTTAAAGTATTAAATTAGAAATTACAATTACAAGAAAATGCCTGTCATATGTATTAAGATGATAGGATTCCATCTGTAAACATCAGAAGATTCTTCTTCTGAGACCACATTAGCATTCTCAACAGTATTTTATCCATTCACTGTATTCTTTCAATGGCTATATACGTATTTATACATGTGCATGCACACACATGCAGTCATTGTCAGCTGTACCAACTGTCTGATGATCTGGTTCAGTTTGGGGTGGAGTGGTTGTTTTGTTTTCTTGAAGAGCATCTGTGGGTGAGGAAGGCCTCCTCTAAAGACAGTCCTAACACCTGTCTCTCAATGCTTAAAAATATCAGGAAGGCTAGGCCAAGGACAGTTGCATCACCACGGCTGTGATTTCTCTTACGTCTCCTGAAAAGGACAGCTGGACTCCCAGGTAATAGTCTGGAGCCCAGCATGTCAGCGATCTGTGCTAGCAGGGACTTCCCAGAGTACAGACACCCAGTAAGTCTCCATTTCTTTCATGCGTCAAAGAACCCCACTTGCATTAAAGAGCACGGTATTTAGTTCGACCCTCAGTCTTAAAATAAAATCAGGTTTGCAGATGTAATTCTGAGAACACTGATTTTAAGATAGCATACAGCTTGTCTGTAAATAAAAGCAAAAGTTTGAGAGATATTTACATGCATTTGACTAGCAGCTGCCTTAAGTCAAAGCTTGTCCATAGCCGCCTCTTCCCAGCCACCCTGTGTTTTGCTTTTTGTATTGTAACTCTACAGAAGAGGATACTTATTAAAAAGAAATACCCACAACAACACTTTAGGCATATGCTCCTTAAAATATGCTAGAAAGTCTCAGTTTTTGAAACTAGTCCACTTCAGCGGAAGGAAAAAAATATCACACCACTGAAGATACCACCACCTCGTAGTTCCATCATGCAGTAGCATTTTTATTGGGATGAGCATCTGGTCAGTCTAATGCAACATAGCACAGCATAATTTACTACTTACCTTAGAATGTGCAGAAAGCTATATTAATTAAAATCTGCATCATGAAACTTGGATGATAGAAGCAGCCATAATGGCAGTTTAATACTATTTCACAAAACAATACTTTGACTAGATTTATACAACCCCTCAGAATCTGAAATACTGACATAAGTAGCACAGTTCCCAGTTGAGATAGTTAACCAAAGTATAATCCTAGAACTCTCAACGCACACAACTCCCTAGAAATCTAAGGAAGTTGTTCCTGCAAGGCCAAAGAAAAGCTACTTCGCCAAGACTAGAAGATGACATCGAGCTTGTCATGCCTATTCTCCGTATGCCCCCAAGTGGAAATAAGAAGTTACTGCTACGTAAAGGGAAAACCAATTCCTACCACTCCGTTTACAGAAAGCAGCTGGTCTCCACGTTTCAGGCCTCCATGTCTATCAGCTATACCACCAGGGATAATTCGAGAGATATAGATTGGAGAGTTTTGTTCTTTGCCTCCCATAATGTTGAATCCAAGACCTTCTTCGGTTTTGGGTAGTTCAACCACTCTGGGATGGGAATGACCTTCACTAGCAGCAAATGCAGCTACAGTGGCCTGTAAGGAACAAGATTTTCCTATTTATAAGATATTAAAAATAGATCCTTCAGCTAGACACAGTGAGCAGGCTGAAAAAGTATTTTTATCTCAAAGTACTTAAACATTAAGACAAATGAGATTAATTCCCTAGATACCAAACACTAGCATGAAAAATTTAGAACTTCAAGAATAAAATTAAAATGCAGAAATTTAAAAATAACAAGTCTTTTGTTAAACCTTTTAATAACCCGTTAAACTTATCCATTTTATCAGACATCTAGATAATATCCTTCTGAATTTTAAATAATCATCTTCTGCTTCTAAAGTAACAAACTACTATATTTTACAGAAGTTATAGTTTGGCTTTTACCTTTGCTGTTGCATTAGCTCTAACTTCTGGGCTACTGCTGATATCCACAGTTTCGTATACGTGTTCATACACCTTTAGAGACAAAACAGCTTAAGTACGGGGAAAACAGATATTTTTCTGCTTAGATAATACAACAAAATATCAGGTATAACTCAAAAATGTGTAAATTAAGAAGTACACACCTTACTCCCTCATTCACTACAAGGTATCAAGGGACAATCACCTACACTATGAAGAAACAACTCTCTCAGCATCATTATTGCTCAGTTAATCCATGCATATCTAGGTTTCAACCTACATCTTCCCTCCTTCCACAGGATTCAGACCCCACTATTAGTTTAGTTAGTATAACACACTGGACTGGAGACAAGGATGACTACCTTCGCTTGTTTGCTTCAAGCTGGAACTCTTCAATAAGGATGTACGCAAAATCACTTAAGGATAGCTCTTCAAAGCTCTCCCAACAACCTAGCCCTCTCCACAAGCCCCCATATTTTCCTTCAACTGATGCAACTGACTATCTTAAGTTAAAAAAAAAAAAAGGTATTGAAAACACAGAGGCAGTAAGAATACTAACACTAAGGAGGCGCTTAACTGAGAGCTAACCCACATCCCTTGCATCTACCTGCCTATCATCTGGACTTGCTAAGCAATAAACATGCTGTCCTTGATAGGATGGAAACATTAAGATGACACCTATGTCTACAAACAGATCTTTTAAATCATTCCAGGCATTATCAGTGGTAGCAGCAAGAGCAATAGCAGGCATACTCAATCACTTAAAAGTCTCTGACACAGAGTATCTGGAATGAAGATGAGGTGGTGCAAGGCTCCACCTCAAGGTGAAAGGGATTTGGCTTAAAAGAAACAGAGGCAATTCGTACTTTGTCCATTCTTACATTCCAGGAGGTTAGCAGCCTGCTAGCTGCCAGTAAGGACAGACTCTCAAAATAACCTCTAAAAAGTGATTTGCTCCTGAGCCATTATTTAATAACGTACGCCATCCCAAATTACCTTCTTTTGAACTTTTAAAAATAAGTCTTGTTCTGTTAAGCTCTGTAAGTCAAATTCAGCTTTTAGAAAGAAAAAAAATCAGATTACTGCACTGAACACAAAAGGAAAAAGCATAACATATGGATTGTTAACTCAAGGTAACTGCTTATGTCAAAGTTAACTTACCTCCCTCACAGCATTACAGAATTCACTTTGAAGGACCCTTTGCAAAGCCTGTAGCTTTTGTGGTGGCACTTCTCCACTTCTCTGTAATTTTTCCAGCAACTCAATTGCTCTGCAGATGTCTACAGAAAAATAAAGCACCAGTAATGAGGAATGCCTGAGGAAAATTCAAGTTTGTTTGTTTGGGTTTTTTTGGTTTTGATTTTTTTTTTTTTAAATTAATGGAGCAGTCTGCGTGTGTGTGTCCTTGCATATACCTTAAAACAACATACAACTATACATCTACAAAATGTTGCAATAAACCACCATGTTTTCCCATTATTTTTAAGTCGACACGACTTATAACCACGACAATCCAACCCTGTGAAATATCTAGAGGTATCACTACCATATGTCTATTTTAAAGACAATCTGATTTTTCCTTGAAGTTTAAAATCAGGCTGAAATATTTCACGGATATATACACTATCAATATTTAATATGCATAACTTCATAATTTTATCTAGTGCACAGATAATATTTTGTTCAAACCAGCTAGAGTATTGTCAAATACACTAAGATTCCTTTGATATTCAAAAATTCAGTAGAACAACAGTACACTTAATGCCTTCCCTACAACAGGGCTGAGAACCATCTGGCCTATTTTTTTTTTCTCCAAAGTGCTCAGAAAAACAACTAAACTCCTTTTGATATTCTCAGCTGAGAGAGAATACCTCTGTAGTGTAGAATCCTCAACCCCAAACCTCTTTGTTCCAGTTCCTAGAAATTTGTTCCTAAGAATTCACATCCATATTCTCATAAATGCAGATGTTGCTTTGTGAGACTGAACTCCCTGTGAAGGATTTGATTCCAGACCAGCATGAGTCAAGATGGGCATCAAACATGACATCAACTGCTATATGACATGCTCCCGGCAGCTCTACAAGAGTAGAATACATTAATATCCCTCACTTGTATTTCCAAAGTGTTACATTAGTGATGATTCTGAATCACCCAAGTTCCAAGTAGAACAGTCTCTCAGAAAAGCAGATAGAAAGGATTACCTTCATTATCACAGAGGCAAAGCAGCAGTGATTAATCTACCATACAAGTAAGGCAGAGATTATTTTAGACAAGGATGAAGCCTGGGACACGGCTATGTCCCAAACACGTTACTTCCTTTTTTCAGTAATGAACATTTAGGCAATCATTTTTCATGTGAGTGCACGTCGACTCAATGGCATCAGGTCAGCACAGAAGACGTGCAATAGCCATGAACTTCTCCTAAAGGCCAATTGTAAGGAGAGAGAATTTACGTAAGAGGATGAAGAAAACAGCAGGGTGTATGTTCTGAAATTAAGGTGAAGTGCATTGGCAAGAGACAACCCACAGTTATGTTCTGTCACTTTTGTAAATTATCCATCAGATACGTCTTAGCAACTTCTACACCGAGATCAGGTGGTGCAGTCAATTAAACAAGGCAGGATTTAACCTCACAGACCGGCCATCCACTAGCAGTTAAAGCTTATGTCTGTTCCACAGACTGGAAACAAACCCTTCATGGAAGAACATCCAAGCATTATCACTACAGCTACAAGACAAATTATTTCACGAGAGTTAAGGTTTCTTTCTACGTGCCATGAGAACCTGGCATTTTTTGGCAAGTATCTTCAAGCACCAGGTATCTAAAGCAAAGAAATACCAAATACTAAATTTCAGCTATTACTACTCCCAAGTCTACAGAGAACTCACTTCACACAGGCATGCATATTTGCTGTTTGTACAACAACTACAAAATGAAAAAAGTGCTTCTAAAGCTTTTGATTTCCTAACACACATTTTGTATTTTACATAACATACGAAATATTTGGTGAAATTAAAGAGGTTCTAGATGTGGTTATTTATTAATCTTTCAGTCTTTTTATGATGCAAATTCACTAACATTTTTAGTAATCTGTATGTTCAGCAACAGCAGTACAAATTATCTGAATTTCACACTGAACAGCTTGAAGTAGAATGACCAACAAATGGCAATAGTAGCACTTCCAATCCTGCAACACTCCATATATTAACGAAAAAAAGTCTAGGAAGTATGTAAATTACCATACAGCTATCATTTAAATACTTGCAGATGTTTGCAGACAAACGACTATTTCACACACATAAAGAATACAGTTCTACCCAGCCGTTCGAGCCTGCAGTCCATGAATGATGTTAAGCTGTATGGTGTGTGAACTTGTTAGATAACAGTTTGACTAGGATACTGCAAGAAATTTTAAAGGGTGACAGCAACCTACTGATTCAAAGAGTAGCTATAGAAATCAAAGACTCCAGATCTCCATTTGCTAATTTCTCCTCTTTGTTGACCTCCTCATTTCATCAATAAACCAGATATAATTCCTACCTCGATCTCCTAAGAGCCAAAATATTTAACTACATCGCCAATTTTACCTTAGGGTATAAAATGCTAATTTGGGAACCAGCTCTGCCTTTCATAAAGTGTAGACTAAGAGCACAGAATCAGCTTGTCAAAAAGTGACTGGGATATACTGAACTGGATTCCTTTTAGATTAAACTAAAGCAGAGGGTGCACTTTAATAAAAAAGGGCTTTCGGATCAAAGGACCAAGCCGCTGCTGTAAAATAAACATCCAAAGACAACAAACACAGCATGAAAGTTGGGTCCTCAGCACTCAACAGATCTTTTATCGCACTGCACCTCTTGCTCAGGTAGACACAGGCAATGGATCTCATTACCAGGGCACTTCTCCCCAAAAGTTATTCTGTTTTGTTTACCCTGCTGACAGGACCCCATTAGACCAGTCTGAAAGTGAAACGAGCATAACTTTCTCCTACTGAACTGCATTAGGCACTGTTAGTCAGAAGCTGAAGATTCAATCTCTCCTAGCTCTGGAGAGAAACTAGTTTGGCTGGGAACAAGTGGCAAAACACACCTATCATTTTCAAGGAAAGAATGTTGACTGCTCTGCTTATGTAGTTTGCTCCTTCCTGAACGACTGCTCGGGATACGATCAGCTGAAAGCTGTCTTCCTCACAATATTAATACTACGGCTTAGCCAACTGTTCAGCACCAGAGACTGAAATGAACACTATAGAATTGTTCCACTGATGGATTTCATCAAGGATCGAGGCAGAAATAACTGCAGAGGTACCTGATTAAAAAAAACAACCATAAAACTCATTATAAAATGGAATCCACACATAACTAAAAAATGGATTTTCTTTTAACCTTTTCATCCTTTTTATATCAGCTGCCTGATCTTCACAAATCATTTTTTGTGATCACAGGATACTAGACTGAAGTCCTGGGAGGGAAAAAACAAGATACATTTAAACTAAAAGAATGTGGAAAAAAATGCCAGCAAGATGCCACCACTCCAAGCATGTGTGTGAACTAAACACAGAAAGAGGAAAAATGCAGCATCCTCACAGACGCTCCTGATTAACCACCTCTGCTGCTTATATTCAAATAGTCTGGACTGCTAAGGTGTATGTAGAGTTATCACACATCATCACCAAACCATAAGAGTTACTTCAAAATGTTAGATGTTATTTCTTCCCTGCCCTCCAGTGAATTTGGGTGGTGATGTTTGCAATGCAGCTTGGAGGAGAGAACAGATGGGGAGAATATTCAATTGCCCTGATGGTAAGCATATGGTAACCTTTTTAAATCAGCTCATTTTCTACACTGTTCTCTCTTTTCTTATGCTATATACCAACAACATTAGTGATGTTCACTTTCAAGCTGATGATCACTCATCATCAAGTTATCTGCAGGCAACCCCATACAATTAACAGAGGTTGTTTATTTCTGTAAAAAAAGCTCTTGCTTTTTTTAGGTCCATTATACTTTGCTCTCTTTTTCTTCTTTGCTTAAAAAGACTGATATGCCAGAAGACTAAATAGCTCTTTTGTTCCTCTGATCTCTCAGTAACTCTGCAAATTTGTTTGTTTTCATGGGTAGAGCATAGTGGCAGGGTAATGAGGTGGAGAAGGATGCTGCCCGAGGTTTAACTCCACAGACCTACCAAGAGCAACTAATCCACTGCCAAGGCTGCTGCCCTAATTAACAAGCTTTGGAGCGGGGAGGGTAGATGAGCTGCGGAGTGGGAAGCAAAGTTCTTACATAAGTCACTATTTACAGGCCTCTCACGCATTACAAGCGCTTTGCTTGCGGAATGGAAAGGAGGGCTGGCAAACAGAAAAACTGAACTCTGGGGTAGGTGACACGTGATAGTACCGAGCACAATAAAGTGGGTATATACAGCAAGTTACACATCTACGAAAAAGCAGAAGTGAGCAGAAGTGGTGGTGCCAATGGGAATGGCAGTGGAAAAACAGTTCATCTAATCACCTACACTTCACTAAACTGCTTTCCTTTTCAAGAATAGGATTTCTCATCCTCAGAATTAGTCCCATTTAAATTCCATTTTCCCACCTCTACTTTCCTAAATACACACTAATAAACCAATCACGTATGCTGTTACACAAGCATGTATTCACTGAGCGACTGCAGACCTTGCACAGCTCTGAAGAACCACCCTGAAGGAAGTTTATCATTGTTTCTTAAAAGCCCTGGGTAAAAGACACAAACATGCCACAGAAAAAAAATACACAACTAAGTTTTGTATTTTACCTGTTTCTCTACTAATTCTAGCTACACACTGCACAGTACTAAAAATATAAATTAAGACTATAAACTGGTAAATCGGGATGAAAACATAAATGTGAGAGGGTAACAAAGTCGAGCAGAACCATGAACAAGTGTAGAGGGACTCCTGCATGTGTCACTTGTCTTCTACAAAAACAACCAAGTTATTACTGCTAAGACACGTCCTAACAGATCGAACTTAAAGCTAAGAATCAGCTTCGTTCAAGAGCAAGTTTTCCGAGAGAAACAGAAACAGGGCGCTCGCAGGTTCAATAAAGAGCTGGCAGAAGTGTTGACACTACCAAAGGCACACCGGACGCACCACCGAAGGTCTGGAGAGAGTGCACCCATGGAACCCCAG